GCTCAACATCATTTGTTTACCCTTGATACAAAAGTAATCTAAAGATCAAGAAAATTTCACTTTTGCTCAGCTGCCAGACTTTTTTCCTAGAATTTCACACCTTTTCCCGCACTCTTTCACACACACACTCTCTCTCTCTTTCTCTCTCTTTCAGTCGAGTGCTACGAAAATAACTGCAAAGCAACTCTAAGCGGAGGCAGTGTCTAGTTTGTGATTTTGGGGCGGGGCTAGTCCAATTAAGCGAATGCACATCTTCCGGCAAATCGGCAGACGCCAGCGTCAACTAAATTAGCGCCAAAGTACGCATTTAAATTTTATGACAGACGGAGTAAACAAACTGGAGGAGATGTTGCATGCTGCATGTGGCATGCTGCATGTGGCAGCCACTAACTCTGCTATACGGCTGATGGCCATGTCAGCAGCCCCTGAAAAGCGAAAGCAAGTGCTAGCTGACGCCGCCGGCGGCCGTTCCTGACACACGCCTCCTGCTGCTGCTGCTGCTGCTGCTGTCGCACCTCCTCCTCCTCCAGCTGCTGCTGCTCCCTTCTCCTTGCTCAATGGGCAACCGCTACTTTTAATGTTTTGATTCCTGGTGTCGCTTAATGGGCAACTGCCACCGTCTGCAGCAGGGGAGCAAGAGAAGATTTATGGCCAATTGTAAATCTCGAACGTGTGCAACTGACGATGGAGGCACGCATCATAGCCACGCCGATTCCTGCCCAGTGTCATAAACTTTTATAAATATGCAAACTTTATGATTAAGAAGAACGCACAGCTTTTGATCAACAAATAAAATTCAAATTGGTTTGAAGACTTTGTTGCCCAAGCATTTGCCCCCAATCTAATGCTCCTTCTTCTGCATCTCCTCCTCCTCCTCCTCCTGCTGCTGCTCTCCAGTAAATTCTCACAAGCTCATAAATAATATGCTCGCTGTTAATTAAAATCTTTGTATTAGCTTTGGCTGCCCGTTTGTGTGAAATATTTTTGGTAAATGAATGCGCTTTGATTTTTTCTTTTTCTTCTTCTTTTTTTTTTTTTTGATAAATGCCCGGCACAATTTTCATAATTAATATGATTTTGATGCCCAAACTGGAGCACAAAGCGATTCTAGTGCGATCTACATAGCAAATTTCCAAACAATACGCCGCCATGTTGAGAGCTGTTAATAGACTTTATAATATTCCTAGAAACCGTACCCCAAAACTCCTTCAGCGTTCACTTACTCGACTCGACGGCTGTGTGTCAAATGGGATTCCCCCCTGTCAATCAATGCGATCTACGCAGGGTCGGGTTTTAATTGAATCTGGAATAATCATGCACGAGGCTGTTTCCCGGAGTTTTGAAGAGCGAAGTCGCCGTTTGACAGCTCAATGACGCTTCGGCTGGTTTCAAATTAAACTACAACACCGCATTCCCAAACTGTTTGCCTAGTCAGAGTAGCTGGCATGGGAGTAAGTGACTAGAAAATACCCTGGAATAAGTGATGAATGTAACTTAAATTGTTTTTTCCTTTTATTAAACCGAATGAGTGAAGCTGAAGGATTTACTCGAAGATCTTTATTAAGGAATTTAATATGATACCAAATAAAAGCAAGCAAACCTTTGTATCTCTTTAAGTATAAACATAAATAATAATTATAATACGCTAATTTTTCATTTTCCGATTCAATCTTTTCGTTGGCAGATTTTAAATGCTAAACACATTAGGGATTTTATTGGTAATACTCAAATATGAATGGAACATAAATTGAATTATTGACTCGTTAAGAGTTCATGGTGATTTCATTTGATTTATTCTAAGCTGCTGCGAGATGAAACAGACAAAACGCAAAAATGCCAGCATCTGTTGAGCATATTCAACAAGAGTTGAAAAGAAAATAAAACCCAAAAAAAAAAATATATATATATAATATATATATATATAAAAAATATATATATATATTATATATATACATACATACATAAATATATGTATACTTCATGCTTGTGCGCTCATCTCAGATTTATGGCAGCAACTTTAATTGAGGGTTCCGGCAGGGAAAAGGTGTTTGGAAAATGATCATAAATTTTAAAAAGTATAATTACAATGGGGTGTGAAAGCTGCAATCTCATAATTTCATCTGAATGGCGGTGTCGTGGAGGTAATTATAAGCACCTAGACATCTGACTCAGTTAGTCGTGGGAGACAGCTGCTTTATGGGTGTAAGAATCGTTGGACTAAGTGCGATATTTGTATATAAACAATAATAAATACTATACGAGATTCCAGACATATGAGACATATGAAGAGTGAGCAGCACTTATAGCATTCTGGCATTCTGTCTGAACTCTCACTTGAAGTCGTCTGCATTTTATAAATAGATCCTCAATGCAATCAGTGCCATGGGATAAGTGCTAATAATACAAATGGACAATAAACTCGAGTTCATTGCTAATAATAATATCACTTTGTAAGAATGTTGCAAGCCCGGACATGAATGTAAACAGATATGTAAGTTAAAATAAAACTCTGCCTAGAACTGAGGCTTTAGAGAGAGGTGGGAATGCAGAGAAAGAAAGAGAGGGAGAGAGAGTACAGAAAGAAAAACGGAGCGAGAGGGAGAGTAAGAAACAGAGGCGAAGATTCAACGATAAAAAAATAGATAAAGTGAGAGAGAGGCGTAAAAAGAGATGGCAGATCAGATTAAAATTGAGCGAGAGGCAAATGTTAAAAGAATATGAGCTAGAAAGAAAGAAGAAATTCTTATTATTACAACTTTCTTTCTAACCTCTGCATCCTTCAAATATAAATCTTCTTTTCATATATGCGAAAGCTGGCTTTCAGAATTATTAAATAATTATAGTAGTTATCAAAGAGCGAACAGCTCAGCTCTTAGGAGAATCGTATCACCTTCTGCAGTTAACGCTTTTTATGCTCGAGTATTTCTATATATATATATATATGCATATATAAGTATATATAAGTACACATACATATGCATGTTTGCATGTACACGCATGCGAATGCCGTGCTCAACTTTGACCTCTTTTGCGACTGCCAAGCCTCAGTTGATTGCCAGCGTTTATGTTTATGCTTGGAGCTTGTCTCTTGTTCGCCTTATGCATTTCTCAAGTCGGCAAAACCGGTCTTCCCCCTTGCCTGACTCCCTCTCTGCTTCGGCCTATCTCCTCTTAGTCAGTTTCCAGTTTTCAAGTTTACAAACCGCAGCAGCAATGCAGGCAACCAACTTCAGCTTCAACTTGGCTGACTTTGAACACCCTCACAAGGGGGAGTATTGATTTGGTCAGCTCTCGCTGTAAATAGTAAGTAAAAAGTATTTTTTAAATAGAAATTATAAAAAGTTTTTGCAACTCACTTGTTTAATAGTAGTTTAACTTTCTCAATATTTTTTTTTTACCAGCCTGTTTAGTCTTTTAAAAATATCTTTAGACTGGCAGTTTTTAGGCGGTTCTTCTGTCTCCTTTTTGTTGTGCCTGCGATTGTAATTTGATGTGTATAAAAATAACTTTTAAAGTTTAATTGATTTGAATTTCTATGGCAACTCAAGTGGAGTAAAATGATTTTTTATAAGTGCATATTTAATTCATAGAATTCAATTTTTTAATAAACATTATATATTTGCATATATGTTGTATAGTTTATTAGCTTTTATTAAACAAGCTAATAGATATTTTAACATACATTTTTTTTTAATATAAAATGTTTTTTCTAAAAAATAATTTAAAAATTTATCAAATAATATTGAAAACTTATAGAAAGCCTTTTATACAATTTTAAATACATAAAAATAATTTTAAAAAAATTAAACACAAATATATATAAGTGTATATTAAATATCTTTGTTATGTATGTATATAAAAATAAACATAGAATAAAACTTAAAAAAAATATATATATACAGATAACTTCTTACACTTTGCATTTGCAAATGGTGCTATTTTATTTTTCGCAGCTGTACATACCTATTTCATTTTCTAAATATATAGAATATATTTTAAAATTATATATATAAATATATGTATTTTGTAAATTTTATTAAATAACTGATATTCAAAATGAAGATTCATTTAATTTTTTAATTTTTCCTTATATATAAAATATATGAATTTTTTATAGAAAATATTTTTAAAGTATATATTTAATAACTTTTACATGAATTATACTATCTCTGTAAAAATATAAACAATTGTTTTAATATAGAATATATTTTAAATAAGTATATTACATTTTAGTTGAAATAAAAATAATTTTAGAGAGCTGCATGACACATTTAAAAGTTAATAAGAACTCTCCTCTGGTGGCAGTGGAAAAATGTGAACGTGAAACCCTTTTCAAGTCTTCTAATGGCCATTCACACTCTTGGCATCTGTTGGCTCGATCAGGCTCTTTAGCAGTTGCTGTTGCCTGGTGGTTGTTGGAGCCTCGTCAACTTTCTCGTCGCATTGGGAATTGTTTTGGCGCGTGTTTTCGTGTTGAACAAGTTTTCCATGGTATTTTTCCTGCACGATTACAGGCAATTCATTGCCATTTATGTTGAGCTCTCTGCGCTCGCTCGCCTGCTCGCTGTGCCCATAAGCGGTATTACCATTTCAATTTTGTCCATTTTCCTTTTGTGCTGGCGTGCGTCGATCCATTAGCGCTGGACATGGCCAATTTACACTTTAGGGCCTCTCGACTTGACCACAGACCCAACTCGAATGGAGCCAGACAACACGTACCAGATCCGTTAAATCACGATGCTCAATGCAAATGCAGTTAAGGCGCATAAACGGACTGTTCTCAGCCAAGTTAGTTGATGTGCGAAAGTATCAAAACTTCAATTGAAATGAATTCACGTAACTCTTTATTTATAGCTTCTTTGGCACATACAAAATCGATTTGATATTAAAATTCTAAAATTTAAAAATTGTTTCCAATAACAATGGGACTCTAATTCACTGAGTATTCCAAAAGGGTTTCGCATAAGATTAAATTATCGATTAAAACTATTAATTTTGTACACTAAAATGAAATGTATCCGATTGGCGATTGGCGAGCGATTATTAGGCGGTTGGACGGCTATGAAATGTCGCGATGGTTTCCGTTGACTTGTCCTTTGTGGTCAACTTCCAGTTGTAGCCATCGCCAGGCAATTGGCTGGCGAACAAGGGAAATATCCAAGCGACATGCATGTGCTGTCCGAAAATCCCGCGCAGATTGTAGTAGATGCCAGCATCGTAGTTGTGCTTATCCTTATCCTTCAGGTTACGCTCGCCGATCAGCTCGCCCTTCAGCACAAAGGGGGCGTGCAGGATGATCATGCCGGTCGAAAAGATTTGATAGATCAGATTCAGACTGAACACAGAATTGTGTAGAACCTGAATGAACGTCATATCTGAGAAATGGGTTAGGTGGGTCAGCTGGCCCATTGACCAGATGAAATACTTTAGGTTGTAGAACATCAGGAGACTCGATAAAACAAATGAATAGAGCACGAAACAGGTGAAATAGCGGTAATTCTGATGGCCAATACAACAGCCGGTGAAATTGCAATGATGATCCCGTGTCAAAATGCAGGTTCCACAGGTGGCACAGTGCCAGGATCTGGGCGGCGCTAGAGCCTTACAGATCTTACAATGTCGCCAATTCACACACTCATCACTAACGTCAAAAGTTTTGATGCGATCATCTAGGTGGAACAGCAATGGCTTTATCATATATCCACAATTAATATCCCAACAGCTAAATACTCACAATCAACTGATATATCGACCAACATGCAGGCGATCAAATTGGCCATGACGTTTATGAAGAGCAAGATAATGAATGTAACTATTAGAGGATAGGCGTATCCCCCAGGCGAATGGTACTTGGGTATCACAGCTATGAACTCGTACAGCAATGAGACTGGCAAGCAAATGACCAGCACTAGATGGCAAAAGATGTCCATCTTGGAGATCAGCTGTACATCGCGACGTAGCCTCATTCGAGGAAAGAATCGGTTCAGAGACGCAAGCATGATTACGATTTACGAAGTACGCAGTATGATTTACGATTTACAAATTACGAATTACGATTGAGCCAAATATTCAGATTATAACTTGTTTTTTGAGGACCGATTCTTGCCCTGGGTTGTAATATAAATACTGAACGAAATAAGACAAAGCACAGCTTACTTAAATCGTATTTCGTAATGTTTCGACTAAGTGTGCTTGATTTTGTATTGTGATGTCTATATGGAAGGTACTTAGTATTAAGGTGAAGTTTAAAGGATCTTTTATTCCTATGATATGGTGGATGAATATGTTAATATGTATGTATATAATATGTGGTAATAATCGAGACTTATCGCCTCTCTTATTTTAACCGTAGAAAACTGGGTCGCATGAGAATTGTTAGGTAATGCATAAAGAATGTCTTAAATTATATGCACATACAAGCATACATATGTCGATAAATATACGTACGTAGTATATGTATGTATGTAACCTCAAGATACCGTGACATAATTCCAGAATGAATACACACTATTCACTATAATTATTCACGCTTGATAGTGTGTGTTTTCCTAGTAATTGTTTTCGCGACAGTTAACACATACACGCACACACACACACACACACACACACGTGCATACAAGTGTATTTACATAGAGGTACACATTGTTAATTGTCTTCCGCTGCCTCCCGCACTTTACATTGACACTGAATATCATTTGAGATGAGTTCGCTTCAGAGAGTAGTATGACCCACACTTACATACATAAATTGCTGCAGTAATTAGGTTTACGACTTTTTGAATGAATTTAAATTGTTTTGCGTTACGGCTTCGGCTTCTGGCTAGACAACGGCAATTGGCCATCGCTTTGCAGTTGTTGTCTCTACGATTGACTATGATGTCAAGGGCTCTCTCTTTGTCTGTCTCGCTCGCTCTCAGCTGACTTAATTGCATTACGCAAGTTTTGATTCTCTTTAACTGTTCTTGAAAAACAATTATGAGAAAAGAAAAAACAGTAAATGGCAAAAGCAAAATACAGAGAGCTTATACATATGTTATGTGTATGTGTGTGTGTGTGTGGGTGTGTGTGTGTGCGTGCTTGTGTGACTTTTGCTTGATTTATTCGCAATATCACACCCAGAGCTCGTTCAGATCTTGTTGAACAACAGGCTGACACATGGAAGCTTATGCAAATGTATGTATGTATGTATATATGTATGTATGTATGTTACGTGCCTGCGTGCATGCAACTTTTCATTTATCAATTTTAAAAGCAACGGCAGAAAAGGTGTGATTCAGTTGAGCCCCACTTTTGGCTGTCCGATTGCAGCTCTGTCTTGAATATCCATTTGACATTTGGCATATACAAATACATACATACATACATATGTATGTATGCATGTATAGTGATAATGTACCTGGAAAAACAGCCAAAGCTTATGAATAACATATTCAACTGAAGCGAACTGGATAGCTAGTTAGCTTTAATAAATAATACATATTAACATACATAAGTATATACATACATACATACATATGCATGTACATACAACTGATTTGCATTGAAATTCTTTGCACTTATGACTGACCATGTCAAATTCGAATGCAAATGCTCTAGACTTGCCTCTGATAGAACGTTTCTCAACACTCCCCTTTCGATAACACTAGCTGCCTTGTGGCGGCAGGGCGATCATAAATAAATGTCATAATGCAATAAACGAGGAAAGTGTCATATGCGCCAACATGGACACGGACATGCGACCCCATGCCTAAAGTAACAAACACACACACACACACAGGCATGCACACACCCACACAATAAATACCACGAAATCCAGTTTCATTTCAAGATATTTTTGCGGCAGCTCCGCAACTGAGTTGCGCGTAAAATGCAAAAGAAGATGATCAAATGTGAACTTACAACGGAGCATACTATGTAGGCACATAAATAACTATAAACACACACAGATGCATACATACATACATACATATGTATAGTCACTTTGAGACAGTAGTTTTATATGCGTAGGTGTGCTTGATTAAAACCAAAATAACATGCAGAGTTCAAGAGCTTCGAGTGTTTGTGTGTGTGTATGTACATATGTGTGTGTGTGGGTGGATAAATTATACAATTCTATTACCAAACTGTGGGAATAATTTGCATGACATATTCTATTGTTATTAAACTTGTTCTGTTCATTATAATATTGGCATATTTTGGTAACAAAAATAACTGTTATTCTTAAGCTGATAATTTTATAATTTTGGAATTCAACTCTTTTTTTTCGGCACCCACGCAAATTTAGAATATGACTAAAACTCTATTTTTGCACGCAAAAAGCGCTCAAGCAGGCAGCAAGTTTACCAGAGGGTTACCTATGCACATGTATGTACATACATATGTACATATGTGACATGCAACATTTTTTTTCTTGCCAACATTTCACATGAAACGGTTGTTTTTTTCTTTATGGCCAAATTAGCGAAACGAGCTGAGAAGTTGGATTAAAATTTGCTTACGAATGTATGTATATATGTATGTATATGATGAATAATATGTGTGTATACATATATGTATGTATGTATGAATAAAAATATATAGTCATATATACATACTTTTCTACATATGTATGTACATGCAGAGATGGCATCACTCGCTTTCTTTTTTGTACCCACAGCCCCGCTATAGTTCAGTCTTTCCGGTCACTGATTCTTTTTTCTTGGGTGAAAATTATAGTTTATGATTATAATTAATATGGGCAAATGTTTATGACTAGCTAACGCTTTGCCTAGTAGCTTGTTAACTTTCGCTTTCGCAAAAAAAAAAAATAAATAAATAAATAAATAAACATAAAAAAAATAATTTTTTTTTATTTAATTTTTGGCACTTGAGTTCTTTTATCCGAGTGACTCTTGTCTATAATTGCCAATATATGCATGTACATACATATCTATTCAGAATTTCTAAGACACGCCCACTCAAAACTCTAGCCACGCCCAGACATAAAAACAATTAACTTTTTTACTTATTGCTGATGAATGTCAAAATTTTAATATGAATATTGCAGACAATAGCCATTTATCAACGCCTATTGTGGGCGTGGCAAAAATATGAAAAAAAATATCTTAATATTTCGAATATACTTGGATATCTATGGTGAATTTATATAGAAAATTTGCATATCTCAGCCCATCCTCATCGCAATAATATTCATAAAACAGTTTATAATATTCCTTCTCTGTGTTTATTTAAATGAATCAAAGATAAACATATAAATGAAATATATATGAAAGAGGGAATCATAAAGTTAAGCCCCATGGCAAGCAAAGTAATTAAAGTGGCTTTTGTTCTTTGCCATTTGCCGAACGAAGGCTATAAATATGCTGAGGACAGCTCCAGAGAAGGAGTGAGAGAGATGGAGAGAGCGAAAGCCCAGGGGTTGCATTTGTTTACGTTTGAGTTACTGCAGGACTTAGCTGCTGATAAGCAACGACTTTACAGACCACCAAATGGGATAAATAAACGTCGCAGTACTAACATGGGGGGAGGAGTCGGCGGGCAGGAGTCGATCCGATCTGGGGCTGTCACAACAAGGCAACTGGGCGTGCCAGCTGGATTTAGTGCAGTCAGCGTGAACAAGTCCACCAGGATCTCTCTATCCAGATGGTCTGCGCCCACAAGAAATGCCAAACTCAAGTCGTCTGCCAGCCAGCCCTTTCGCTACTGCTGCAGCAGCTGCCGAGCTGCGCCTCGGGGTTAAATTCAGGTTTCCTTTTGGTATTCGAGACGCGTGCGTTCGCCACATTACTCAACAGGCAGGCCCAGCAGGATGCACGAAACGATGTCCTTATAGCGTGCCGGTAATTTCATTTATTTCATTTTCTTTTTATTTTTTTTGTTTTCCTTTCTCTGCTTCACTTACTCAAAAATTGATGCAGTGCAAATAGAAAGTTGAGTTCCCAAAAAAAGGGGCCAGAGCTTAGAATAAACAGCGTCTGTTTACATTTTTGTGCTGTGAGTCCATTGTGAGTCCATTGTGTATGCAGGGTATATTGACTCTGTGAAAGTGGCTGTAAGAGGCAGCAGGAGGCGTGGCAGGTGGCTTGAAGTATGTTCTTGAGCAGGATAACGAGCTGAGTCTATATCTGGCCAAGGCTCGTCTAAAACGTAAATCCGCATAGGTTTCGGCGTATCTCCTAGTCGTACACTCCCTACTATACTACTTTCACTTGAGCACATAGAGAATGGGAATTACAAAATGTACTTTACAGGCAGAATATAGGCATATATATTCTTGAATATGCTCTCTTAATCATAATCAAGGAAAGAGATTTATATAGCCTGATAGTAATAGAAACTCTTTGCTGAATTCAGGGCATCTCCCAGACAAGTACTCCCTACTAAGGCTCTTCTATTTGATATATCCTGATGCCTTTGGAAATGGAAACTCAGATTATAAGTAGTTTTTGGACAGTAACAGTATATCTATCAATATTATCTGACTGAGGAACTGGCAGAACTTATGCCCTTTACCCGTCTGTATAAGCAGGGTATGCCCTAGTCAAGCACTCCTTACTAACACACTCTAGCTTGTTTTTTTTTTTCTTTGTTTCTGGTCATGTTTATCTCATTTCATCAGCTTCACCCTGCTGCCGAAATCTGTTCCGTTTATTTTGCCTTGTTATTGTGACAGCCTCGCTCTCCCCCTGCTAGAGTTGACTAACTATATATACTACAATATATGCACACACTCTATGTCTGTCTGTGTCGGGGTGGTTTGCGTTACAAATTGCTCAAGTGATTCAATTTCGATAATGTTTTCGTGACAAGGGCACTGCGAAGGCTCCACTGCAGCTCTCAATGGCGATTGGACTCCAGGCAGAGTCGAGAGCCTAGCATCCAAGGCGGGTGTTTGATGTCGCATGTGCGTACTCCATAAATTTCACAAGGCGACACTGCATAAACACAGAAAGGCAAACAAATACAAAGAAATATAAATATAAATATATTTATTGTTTTATGCATAGGCTTGTACAGTCGCCTCTGATTTATTGCAATTCGATGCCTTTGTTTGAGTCTATAAATTTTTTTATTGCAATTTTATGGTAGCCAGTTATTGGATTGTTAAAAT